TTATAAACAAATTTTGTGGCATTTCCAATTATTTATAAATAAGGGGAAAATGGCATAAATTCGGTCTAAATAATAAATTTACAAACGGCGCCCCATAGTGTAAGCGGCTGCCTTGCCTACTGAGGTTCGACTAGCCCTGCTGTTGTCATGTGAAACATTGGGTGCTTTCATTTTGCCAGACTGACCGGTTAGAGACCAGTGGGATTACCCGAGGAAAATGGAACGACATTTTCCGATCAAACCGGGCCAACCAAGAGGAATGGCTCTGACCATTTTTATTCCTTTCCCGAATTCCCTACGGAATTGAAATCTACTGAAGAAAAGTAGGGCAATGAACCGGTTTGTGAGAATGGAACGGCAAGTTTCGGACCGACCGGTCCGATCGATCAATGTGATCCCGAATATTCCGGTCGGACCGAACCGCAAAGGACCTTTCCAGTATTGCTAGTTATAGAGTGGTTAGGAGAGGAAGGAAATCGTTAGACCAAAGGCGTTAGTTTACCGTCACGGCTGTGATTGTCTTTATTTTAGCTTGATAAATTTTCGAAATGGTAAGCTATATGGAAGAAGTTTCTTTTCAATGTAATGTTATTTAAATGATTAAATTAATTTTCATTTAGATGGGAAAAATAACTGGATCAGGTCGCACTGACAAGAACAGTACTTTTAAGCTGGCCATGCCAGTTCACAGTCTGAGTTTTACTTCCAAGGTAAGCTACACGTCATTTTGTGGACGCATATTATGGACCCACGTGGTTTATGTTATGGACTACGTGATAGACCAATTTCGATATATTAAAATTCAGCCTAAAACAAAAGACCTCAGTACGAGGCTCTGGGGAATAACTACAGAGTGTGCTGAGGTCTGTTGTGTTCGGCAGTTGAATTTTAATATATCGAAATTGATCTATTTCACTTGCAGGAGGCGCTTAACCTCTTTTCCGGGAAAAAGAAAGCTCGTGGAAATGAGGCTTGCAGGCTCGGTTGCTGTTGTTAACTCGTTGTGTTTGTAAAGTCTGTACGTAATCCACCAAGACCGTAAATCCGTTAAGTCTGTCACGTAATCCATAAAGTCTGTCGCGTAATCCACCCCAATCTTTCCCTATCTTAGCCATCCTTATTCTTTTAGGGCTTTTTGCGTCATCTTAAGTCTTTTCAACCATGTTAGAGAGGTTTTCTCTCGAGTGTCGAAAGCAATTCTCATTTACTATGGTTTTATATTACTGCGCTTGGTGATTGGCTTAAAAAACTCACGCGACTTTCTCAGCTAATTAGAAGTTAAACCAGAACCAATCATGACCCGCTTACACAAGTTTTCTCGCGCTTTTGTGTTAGCTAAATGTAATTACTTCTACAACCATGGACAAATTGTGTTGGAAAATGCGCAAAAACATGAAATAACAACCGTTATACGTCCAGAATAAATGTCAGTACCCCCATTCCCCTTTCAATGTTGGAAAATGGTAAAATGCAAACTTATGGTATATGAAAGTTTTTGTCAACATTGCACAGGGGTGGAGAGGGGCAAAATGCGTATAGAATGAACTTTTCTAACCCTTCTTACTATGGTTGTAGTTTTGATTGGCTCACTGGATTGTCTGTGTTCTTTATGATTGGCAGAATGATTACTCGGTTTTGGCTTTTCTTCACTTAATTAGAATGATACTATTTGAGGTTCCCTTTGACTTGAAGGTTGTTCTTTTCGTCGCAGATAATGTCCAGGAAACTACTTGATATATTCCTCCGTAGCTCGTTTAATTATAACTTACTTGGTTATTTACTTCATGTAAAGGTCCAATCCGTGGACAATACAATCCCACCAGCCACTGTTGTAGAACTACCACCAGTCCACGTACATGGCGAGCTCGTAACCAAACTTCCCCGGGCTATCAGAACCAAGGATGGTCCTCCGGAGATTGAGGAGAGCTTTCGGAGTCGTTCCAGGGCTAAAACGCATTTGTACGTGTCCGCAGAAATAGGCGCCTTCCAACACAGCCTGACGACCGATCTGTTGAATCATCTGGTGTTTGTACAGAAGAGCTTCATGAAGGTGTGAACGGTTGGGAGACGATTTTTGAGATTACGATTCGTTGCTTTGATTCAGTGATGGGTAATGGGGGGATATGATGATGTGGAATAAGAGAGTTTGTGATTCTCTAAGGTTGCTACAGTACATGTTTCCGAAGACGAGGCAGTTTTTTGAATGTAAAAATGCCTCTTCTGCTGTACTCTCAATGAACATTATTATACCTCCCAACTCAAATACGTTTTCCGATTGGAGGAGAACGTGTCACCTGCCATAGGTCAAAGCCATCGTCAAAACTCACTAGCTCGCTAGGGAAAGAACAACTTGAACTTTTGACTCGCACGTGATCAGGTCGTGCACCTTGAAGACGCGGCAAATATGTGTGGCAGTCGACGTCAAGCAAGTAACTTTTCGCAGTTTTTTCTATTTTTGAGTTGGGAAGTAAACCCCTCGGGAAACAGTCAGTTTTGTTTCCCCTCAACTCTCGATGTTCCAATGTTCCAACATTGAGGGTTTCGGGGAAACAAAACTGACTGTTTTCCTTGGGAACAGTCATTGAGTGTTAAGTAATCTCAACGATTTCAATCCATGTTTTGATTTTCAGGAGGTGAATGATGTCCTTCAGCGCGTTTCTGGTGAAAGTCAACCTGTTCCTTTGTGGAGAACAGCTTCAACCGAAGATTTGGACAACATAAAAGAGAAAGAGTTTCCTTTATTTTATTCCCTCCGACTCAATTTGAAGGTAACCGGTTTGCAAGTTGCTTTTGTTCTAAATTCTTGATGTAACATGTCAAAAACCGAACACATTGTGTCATCGCATTCCAAATATCCACAAGTGAGTTGGAAGTACGACACCCGTTGGAGTATTCATAGCGAACTTTGAAGGGTTTGGAAATGTGACAAAACACTCTTTCTTTATTGAATTGGAGTCTTTTTTAACTGTGAAGCTCTGTAATAATGGTAGTTTCTTGTTTAGAGGGAATGCCTCAGTCACTTTCTTTGAAACTAAATTAACTGAGGCCCCGTCCATATTACGCCGGAGAAATTTGAAAACGGGGCTTTATTTCTACGGCAAGGCCTACCGTCCACACTAATCCGTCACGAAAACGGAGCTCTTCGAAAACGCTGTTCAAACCGAAGGAATTGGACGAAAAACATTTTAAAATCGGAGCTTTTCAAAAAAGAAGATGTCACAATAATCATGTCATTTCTCTGCCCGAGATTTCCTCAAACACAGATCCAAAATGACCGATGATTGTTGCGTTTTTAAATTTCTCCGGCGTAGTGCGGACGGAGCCTTATACCCAAAGGTTTTTCTTAATACTTATTTGCTCACCAATTTGTCTCTGTCAGGGTATTCAAGTGACAGCGACAACTCCTTCGTCGACCGCTGTCAGATTGGATACGGGTGTAATGGCTTTGGAAGTGTCTAATTCAGCGCCATCATCTAATCTCCTGCCTGGGCAGCTAAAGAGAAGTATGTGTTCAATCAGTGATTAGAATGGAGCGGGGTTTATTTTATTATGTTCGTTAAAACCCAGCCCAAGGAACCACATCTGACCAATCACAATGAACCCAACAACGTAGTGAGCCAATCAGAATTAACTCAAGGCGAAGAACGCGACCTGTGCGATGTCAGCAAAAACATGCAACTGGTACGAAGCGCGGGTAACATGCAACCAAAGTCGAGGAAGCGAAATCACGTAACCATTGCTAAGCTTGGGAAAACCAGTGCCAAGCGCGGGAAAACATGTAACTAGTGCTAAGCGCGGGAAAACATGCAACCAGTGCCAAGCGCAGGAAAACATGCAACCAGTGTCGAGTGCGGAGAAACATGCAACCAAAGTCGAGGGCGCGAAATCACGTAACCATTTCTAAGCTTTGGAAAACCGGTGTCAAGCGCGGAAAGACATGTAACTGATGCCAAGCGCGGGAAGACATGCAACCGATGCCAGGCGCAGAATGTGTATAATTATTTTGCTCCTGATTGGTTAACAAATGTATTGGTTTCCTCTGATTGGTTTTAGAATGTTGCATAAGGATTTTAGGCTAATGAAAGAGCTCAGCAAAGATAAGCAAACAAACAACTGAATTCCTTAATCAATATCTGCTAAGCTACGCTTGAAAAATTGTCTTAATTCCATGCTGTTGTTTATCTACAGGCAGTAGTTATGTGAAACTCTTTGGGAAAGCGCAAGTGGACGTAAATCTTTCCCTTGGTCAATTTGTTAAGGTAAGAAATAATTTGTTTGCATGTTGTGCACGATCTTCTTAAGAAGTGAATCAAACGAGAGTAGTGTTGTGCTGATTGTTCTCTCTTCTCCTCAGAGCCGTAACATAGACAACGAATTTGATTTCCAACAATTGGCCTACTTCAAGACCAGAATCGGGGTCAGCAATTCATTTCAGGTACGTAAAGGGATTTATTCAGGGAATTAAGGAACAAGATGTTTTTTTCACACCGACTGACTGCAGGGCTCACGAAGAGTGCCGCCCGGCCCTCAGGGACACTGAGTAGATTTTCCTGTGGGGCAATTAACTTTTTTTGGTCACTTGTCCGACGGGCAAGGGCTTACGGTAAGTTATTTGCCAGTTAAGTCATAAAATTAAAGAAATGCAAAATTAAGTATGCCATTGGCCTGGGTAAGCAAAATTTGACAGTTACTTGTTCGAAGGGAAAACTGGAATTTAAATATTTTTCGAGCCCTGTGACTGATTAGTTGACTTGAAGTGTCAGCAAATTCAGCTATGAAAACTAATTTCGTACACTGCAAATAGCTTGCGGTGGGCACAATTATCAATTTGTGTGTCTATTCATACTATAGGACAGCAGGTCAGTAGCTGGAACGGAAGATAAGGAGACTTTTCTTGTGACGCTGACAAAACCCTGTTTGTACGTACAACAGGTGGCTTTTGACAAAGGTGAGAACACGAAATAGTCACATGAACATACATTGGTTCTATAACAACGAGAGCTTGGAACGTGTTGTTTCCTCGTTTGGACTGACTATCACTTTTTCAGACTCATGTCTTTTGTGTTCATTATTTTCTCTTTAGCTGTTCTAGTTTATTTGAACTACAAGAATGCATACGAACACTGGAATGAGCAGCGACTTGCTCTGAATAAAGAGGTGTGTTACTTTTAAATACATGCTCCGTTCATTCAGTTTGAAGATATGCCATAGTTTTCGTCAATTGTTTTGGATGATCTTCAGTTGTTTTCCTGCGAAAATGTACCACTCCCGTCATGGGCTTCTAGTTTTGTTTTCATTCCATAATCTGTTCATAACAGCTTTTATTTGTTTCGCGCCAAATCCTCAGTGTGGAATCATTTCTGTGGTACTAAACAGTATACACATTCCCTTGAAGGCCGATGTCACTCGTGGGTTGTTTTACTAAGCACATCATTCAAAAGCACTACTCTAGCTGCATTCAGTTCTAACGTAGTTAACCAGTCGAGCCTTCCGCTCGCGGACGCCCCTCTTTAATCCTCACTGTGGTTAGCAGGCTGGCAAATGTATAGAGCGGATGAGCCCAGAAATAATTCAGAAGTGTTAACCATAGACTAATTCAGCTGTCTTCGAGTAAACCGAATCTACAATACCGAGTTTCTCTGTTTCAATGACCTAAAAGAGTGTGTGCCTGCGCCTAACTGAAATTACACCTTTAAGGTGGCCGAACACAGTTTTCGCGCGCGCTTTTGCTGATGCAATTCAGCGCGCACAAGGATTGCCAAAAAACAAACATGCCGTCAATAGAGTGATCATTTTATTTACTCAACACTCGTACTATCTGTACTATTTTTCTCTATAATTGAACGCAGCGTATTGATGGCTTTAGTCTTTTATTACAAAGATATATTAGAAAAGGTAACGATGCAAAGAACCCAGCAATTCTCAGCTTTTTCTTTCTTACGGAAAGAACCCAGTCAAGTGCAGCGCATACGTACTAAGTCAAAAAATTGCGATTGAATGAAAATTGCACTCTCGGAAATACGCCTATTTCTCGAGAACCACTCATTAGAATTTCACATAATTTGGCACGAAAATACTTTAGGAAATAAGTAACTGG